CACTTTTCCAGAATACAACAAATATCCACACATTGAAGAATTTGTACAAAGAGCAAAGGAATATGTATAGAAGTCAACACAAGAAATAAACTTATTACGAGCTCGAAAAGTATATTCATAGGACCTGCTTAAAATGAGCATTACTGTTACGCAAGTAAAAAATAGATGGTAATGAAGATTTTGAACGGAACTTGTACTCAGGGTAGTGATGGAAATTGCTGGGGATAATGCTGTTTCTTCAATTTGGAGATCAAAATTATATTCATTTATTATATATTTATATTTATAAGACGTTCATGACTGTAGGAGCACATTTTGGCACGAATCTCCATGCACTCATCTAATGCGTGTTTTGTGCTCATGTTAAATTTTTCAAGTGCTGTATATCTTACATTTGTCGTTTCTATTTTTGTCTTCTTTATATATAATTCACATTTATATCTATGACGAAGTATATTCAGCCGACACTTTAGTAACATAAAGCTTACGATGTCATTGGTCAATGGATACAGCATTGGACTCCTAACCATTGGGTCACATATTCTAATATTATGAAAAAGTAATTGGGTCACGACACCCATCTCTCGCTTTAGTCGGCTTGAGCACTGTTTAGTAACAAGAAAGCAGTCATCGTGAATGGTTTTATATAAGCACAAAATGGTTTCTCAAAAACCGATATAAAACCGAACTTTGAACAAAAAATAGTTAACGGAAGGTGTTTGGGCCAAAACATCTTTGCCAAAATGAGCGGTATGCCCCTTAATCAAACACGTATAGGGACATACTAGTGAGTACATGTATTTAAAATAGTGTATGCATTTCATACTAGTGTATAAAGCTTTAGGCCTATTTTTCCGGATTTCAAAATCATTGTTTGTCTCGTGATTTAAATAGTTACAAAATACTAGTATATAAAATAAAAACTAATTTGCATTATTCTAAAAGAAAAAAGTGGAAAGTACCCTAAATAAACGTTAAAAAGGTAAACTATTTTGTTCCAGAAAGTTTTCTTCTGATTTCCACGATGTTCCATTAGAGCCATCGCGACACAAACATAACACGAAACAGTGTTTAAACGAATTTATGATGGTTAAATATCGAAAACAAATCGGTGTAATATCGTATCATCGTCATCGTATTTTCGACCTCTCGCCATAGTGGTTCCGTTCTTTCGTGGCCTCGGAGTCATTTTTCATGTAGTGTTTAGTTTTTTGCTCAAAAAACTACTTGAGATACTAATACTTTAATTTATTATAAATATACATGCATAATAAGTTTTATAACATAATGATATGGATATGAAGATATATTAATTTATCTGCAGGTTTTGTTTTAATTTTTATTTTTAAAAGATGTTAGAGAATAAGCAGGACGGATATAAAATTAGATTTTATTCTAAATATTGGCACCATTAAGACAAAACGGTATTTTTTACTATAATTCATGCGATGTTTAGGTATAACTATGTCATAATTCGATGCACATCGAAAATGGGAGCAAAATCTTAATAATTCTAATAAAAAGCAAAGATACTGTACATTAATTCTGGGAATACCCGTATATACAGCACTATAGGGAAAATGTGTTTAAAACATCAATAGCAAGAGCGATATATTAACAAACATGTGTTTTATGATAATAAATTAAACAACTTTATACATTTACTCGCAAAATACAACATATACAAATGTTAATACAAATCAATGTTTAAAAATTTCAAGATCACATATTGAACTTACACAAATAATAGCGTTAAAATGACAACATGGATGGTGGTTTTTCAATTCTTTTCCAAACATTTATACATAAAAATTTTAGACCGCTAGGCCGCTGGGCCGCCAAGCCGCCAACTTCACAAAAAATGAAAAACAAGTTCTCAATTTCTTATTTTTGTTTTTATATATCCTTTGAATAACAAGAATTGTCCTTAGAACTTCATTTAATGCTGTTTTATTGTATAAATAACATTTCTACAAGACTAAATTTTTTGGCCGCCAGGCCGCCAACTTCACAAAAATGATGAGATCAAAATGTTGTCAGAAAGTGATTTTTTTCTTTTAATATACCTTTTCAATATCAATAATAGTCTTAAGAACTTCATAAAGTCCCGTTTATTTATCATATTCATAACATTTCTACAACTGTAAAATTTCCGACTGCCAGGTCGTTTTTTTTTTTTTAAAAACCCCGCTCTTAATGTGATTTTTTACTTTATATAACTGTTGAAAGATAAGATATGTCTTTTCAAGTTAAGAAGAGTCGTTTTTCAATTATATTCCAAACATTTACAACATTTAAATTTTAGCCGCTAGGTCGCTGGGCCGCCAACTTCAAAAAATAATAAAATAAAAACTTTTCTCAGAATGATTTTTTTCTTTTTCTTTACCCTTTAAATATCAAGAAATGTCTTTAGAACTTCATTTAAATGCCGTTTTATTGTTTAAATAACAATTCCAGAACAATAAAAATTTTGGCCGCCAGACCGCCAACTTTCACAAAAATAATAAAATCAAGAAAGTTATCTGAAAGTGATTTTTTTCTTTTTATATACCTTCTTTATATCAAGAATAATCTTAAGAACTTCATAAAGTCCCGTTTTATCATATTTATAACATTTCTGCAACTGTAAAATTTAAACTTCATTAAATGCCGTTTTATTGTTTATATATTATTTCTACAAGATTAAAATGTTAGGCCGCCAGGCCGCCAACTTCACAAAAAAATGATAGAATAAAAAAAATCTCTCAAAGTGATTTTTGTCTTTTTTTTATACTTTTTAATATCAAGAATAGTCTTAAGAACTTCATGATGTCCCGTTTTTATCATATTTAGAACATTTTTACAACTGTAAAATTTCCTGCTTTTGAGATATAAACGTTTCTCAAAGTGATTTTTTCTTTTTATATATTCTTTAAATAACTTAAGATAACAAGGATTTTCCTTAGAACATCATTAATTGCCGTTTTTATTGTTTTTATAACATTACTACAAATTAAAAATGTAGGCCGCGAGACCGCCAAATTCACCCCGCCAGGCCGCTAGACCGCCCACTTCACGCCGCCAGGCCGCTGTGCCGCCAACTTTACGCCGCAAGACCACTTGGCCGCCAACTTCACGCCGCAAGGCCGCTGGACCGCTAGGCCACCAACTGCACACATCTACAAGTGTTTGTGTTTTAAGAAAACGCAGCCTCGTGATGTCACAAGCACCACAATATATATTGTGTGAAAATGTCCCTAACCGTTTTTAGCGTATGCAAATAAAGTAAAGTATACGCGAAACGTGAATCACCAAATAATATCGATAGAACGATGCAACGCCCCTCCCTACTGAGATGGTGTATACGCTTCGCTGTTATATGATATTTTTTAAAGACTGCATAGAGTTGACCTTGAACTTGATCAGCAATTTAATTAATCGTTACAATTCGATGTATTTTATCTGTTTCAAATGAAAATGCACAACAGAAACATCTACAAAAATTAGAGTTTTCGTGTTAGAGACAAGGAGAAGCAACGGAGAAGTTTAGAGATTCTGGGAAAATGTCAAACATATACGTAATGGATCAAAACTGTTTTGTCAATAAAAGTTCAGAAAGTTATTCTTTATATATTAGTCTCTATTTAGAATATCGGAACGTTCTAATTATTGTACATTTATATAAACGAAGTTGAAAAACTTTCCCCACCGCAAACGAAAGATGTCATGTATAAATGTTGACTTTTTATTATGCTGTGTTCAGATACCGTTTCATTAAGCGACCATGTTTGGTGTTTCCCTTGCACGGTCGCTTAATACACGTTTGCCTGGATTCCATAATATTTATCATCTTTCATAAACAGACAAAAGGCAATGACTTTTTTTAAAACCACATGTACCTAGAACAGCTGAGCGGTGGGCTTTAAGCTTATCGCTGAAGATAATTAAAATACAGATAAGACGAACAAGTCTGAAAATGTAACAGACAAACAGTTACTATTTTTCAATATGCATTCATATGACTAAATTCAACTTGTTGACAATGATATCGGAACTCGGCTTTTTAAAAATCTTTACATTCTCTCCAATAAGGAAAATGATTAAGCTAAGGAAGACTTACGAAGGAGTTTTCCTTAAGAGCAGTCATAAAATGTATCATTTGTCCTTATTAGTATAAGTACATGTTCTTTATATTTATATTTTTCAATTCAATTGTAACCCCCGAAAACCCTAATCCCGAAACGAAAGTAAGAACTTTTTTTTTATTAAATCCCCAAAAGAGACTCCGGGGACACCTAGATGGTAGATTCCCTGCATAATATTCTCGCATTGCAAGATTGACGTATTCCCAGCACTTATGTTGCGATTACTATGCATTGCATGGATATACTCGTACTTGACGAAAAGTTTGTGTGAAAATCACTTTCGTTGGAGTGAATTTTAAAACTCTCGTTTTCTTTTTTTCATTTCTTTTTTTTTTTTTTTTTTCGAAATTTTATGTTGCTGCTTTTTGCTGTCTATGCGTTATTTGAATGCCAACTTTCCTGGTCGATCTTTCTTTTTTATATTTTTGGTTATAAGCGAAGAAGTTAACTACATGTATTTGATTGACCATTAGACAAAAGTATTCTTATGGGGAACTTAGATGAATCTACAGTGGAGAAAGACCTCAAGTGCCTGTCCATTTGTTATTTCAGGTACAGGCGGGTACCTGAGAAGAACCGAACATAAGCGAGCTGGATATATTCCTCACAATGACACACTCATAGTCCCCAAAGGATTCAAACCTGCTGTAGTGAGGGGTAGTGATACTACTCAAAAGATTAAAATATTATGTTGAAAATGGTATACATCTTTCATACACTTGAATTGCCAGAATGAAACACACAGAAAACGAAAATGGACAAATGAATTTAATATTCTGAACTAAATAGCATATTATCAGATTTTCTTTATAAATGACCAAATGAAAAGAGTTTTTATTTACAAACACAAATTAAAAGAATAAAATTCTTTCTTACCAAAATTCACAATCACAATTGCTACTATTAAAAATCCAAACAGCTGCATAGTTAACACTGTTGTTTCATCTTCTTTTCTATAAATTTTATGACAAAAAGGAAAATTTCACAAAGCAATCTGAACACTGGTTATTTTTAAAACATAATTCCACAGTTCAAGTACTGGAACACTCATTGGTTGATTAAAACGAGGAACAATAAATATTTTACTTCTCTGTTTATGATTTTATCCTTCTTTGGACTGAGTGTGTACAGTAATTTCATTACGTTTCAAGTTAAGATGGCCTTTTATGAAATAACAAATAATTCAAATACCCCACAATGCCTTTTTACCACAACGCACAAATATTTATACCTTTTTTCATTCTTACATACTTAATTGAAAGACAAACAGCAACAATAATGTACAAGTACTTTGGCCAGCGAAGTAGTTTCAAGACGTCATTTGGTTGATTGACATTACATATCTGATGTGACATCTGAGTTAAGATGCTTTGTTCTTTTCTGTACATTATTATGTAGCGCTAGTGTACTCATTCTGTTTAAATAGGAACTTTATGAAGCAAGTGAACATTTTCCTCAGTCATATTTTAAATACCTTATGAGGCATTTCAGATACAGATGTTAGAAACGACCTAACCAATTAATATTATCAATATAATTTTGGTGATTTAATCATTACTTCAATAATATTAAATAGATGCAATTATTTTGATAACGTCTGACAAAATGCTTTTTCTGAAATGCAAATAGGAATCTAATGCTTGCGTTTATTTTTTTGTTTAAGATCAATCTTCCACGTGTGATCACTTGAATCACTTAAACGTATTTTTAAGTGAATGTCACTCTCCGATGCACGCTTTGTGTAACAACGGACAACCAAGGACGATCATGTCAGAACGTTTGATTTTGATCAATATAAAAGGCTTAGGTATCAAAGTCAGTAATTTAACACCTATTCATTTACTGCTATGAAGAAATGAAGTTTATCTTCAAGATTGCATAGTTTAAATCAACCAAAGTTTGTTTTCAAAATATATATATAAGGTAATTATTTTATATGATACAGAAAAGTGATAATAGCTGTACTTTAAGAAGCAATTACTATTTTCAAGATATAGAGGATGTAGGATAATAACTTGTACTTAAAACCCACTTAAATGCTGCTTGAGTAAGATCATCTAACTTGATGATTTGAACTTCCTTTTACTCAGTTAATTTACTCAAACACTTTACAAAATATATTTTTTTTATTACTTTACTTATGAAATAATTTCGAAATGAAGTTCATGAATTTTGAACACTTTATTCTAAAACTAACAAGTTAAAACCTATCATTTCGAAAACAAAAGCGCAATAATTGTTTTCATAAATTGCTTATTTCGGATATTTCTACGCCGATTTTAATAAAATATTTAATCCAATCTGTTAATGACTATCCACATATTTCATCATTTGAAAATCTATATTTGAGACTCTTGAGCATTGCTCCACATGAAATATATTAATTGTACAAATTTATTAGATATCGATAACATAACAATAAAAAAACAAATAATAAAAAAGAATAGGAAATAAATATATTTATAACTGCAACAAACAATACAACGAGGAAGCAGTAACAACAACAATATAATAATATACATTGTGTACAATGGCATCAACTTATGTATTTCTAGGAAGGCACATGTATTTAATGGAAAACAATTGTTAATAAAATACCTGTTTAGGTTAAAACGAAACTAGTTTTATACATCAAAAACAATGAAAAACAAAGCAATATCTTCCTCCTTCTCCTCGATAATTTGCCTTATACATTACGGTATAAACAGAAAAGGGAATCCAGCATTGATGAAACGTATGTTTGTCTTCAAATATTTGTCGGAAATGCATTATGTTAAGGGGGTAATAACTTGATTAGATTGCAACAAAAATGACTAGCAGGTCTGATTGACCCCTTTAAGAATGTTGACAACACTTGAACGTGTGAAAACATAACCATCGAATATCATAAATTACGTATCATATTACACATCCTTTTGTTCACAGAGATCAATTAAGTTTTATTACCCTTCATGAAGGGGCTTTTTTCATAACACCATAATTATATAAGAGAGAGAGAGAGAGAGAGAGAGAGAGAGAGAGAGAGAGAGAGAGAGAGAGAGAGAGAGAGAGAGAGAGACACACACACACAAAAAAGGAAAGAAAAAAAAGAAAAGAAAAAGAACACGGTTTAAAAGAATGACAAAAAATAAAGAAAGAAGAAAATGAGGATGTTGATCATTTGAAAATGAATAGTTCATATATAATAATGTAAGTTAAAAATATGTATGCATGTACAGTGTACGCCGTAAATTGCATAGATTCTAACAGAAGATAGAGCGCTTAGGATGTTTTTGTCTGTTTCATTAATCTCTTTTTTTCTTTGTTTACAATCCAGTTGAAAAATTGAATAGCTATTTATGTTAAAAAACGACGTATTTGAAAATCTTGTAGGCAGGTTCAGTTAGAGCACTTTAATATCAAAAGCATTTTTGTTTACATAAATAAAACTTGTACAACACGCCAAATGAAACAAAACAGCATATATTTTGATGTTTTGATATTTGCGAGGAAAAGAAATACACATAAGTATAACTGACATTAACAAAATTAGGCAGGGATATTCCTACGTCATCAATAAAAATGGCGGCAGAAATTACCGATTACTTTTTTATTTATTATTTATTTGTTTATCTATTATTTTATTCATTTATTCATGCATTCATTTAAATATATAGATAGATAGATAAATACATAACTTCTGCTTACTTTCCTGCTGTGTCAACTTTTCCCGATATATACATGTATCTAAACTACTTGTACCAAACAAGCACTAATACGTATTATAAAGTGTAATTGTTTTCCTTAAATGAAAAGTTTTAGCCTATCTGTTAGTAAAGTTTCCATAAAAAATATCTCGATAAATGACTTTTTGCAAAAGTTCGTGAAACTCCTCTTTATTTTGCTGCGCCCTGTTTTTCTACTATGTATGTATGTATGTGTGTTCCCTACCCGGCTTCTCAACCTAATATATATATAATTGTTTTTGTCGCTACCTTGTATGTATGATATTCTACATCATGAATTACATAATGATGATTTTATTCAAGTTTACCTAAAAAAATGACTTCATATTTGATTCTTTAGTTGTAAAAAACACTCTTTCTGTCTGTTTTTGACATTTTCCCCGTAAAGTACATGCATGTTTACGTCATAAATCACGCAAATCCCTAAATATATTATAAAATGTGTTAATTTTCCTTAAATGCAACTTTGTCCCCTACCATACAGTAAAATTTACTTTCAAATAGCTCAATAAATATGTTTTGTGAGATAAATAAAGTTCATGAAAAACTCGTCTTTATTTTGCATGCCCGATATTTCTATCAGATATGTATGTGTGTTCGCTACCCCGGTTTCCCGATCTAAGTTATCAATGATTGTTATATTGCCTACCTTGCGTGTTTAATTACCTACATTCTGATCTATTTTATCCATATATGTCTTAATAAATATCAGTATATTTGATTCTTTAGTTGTCGTGAAAATCGCTCTTTTTGTCTGTTTCGGTATTTTTTGAAAAGTACATGTATTTATACGGCAAAAACAAATAAAATCCTTAGATATTTGATTTTATAAAATGTATGATTGTTTCCTTAATACGACATTGTCTCCTACCAGTCAGTAAAATGTTCATACAAATATCTTTATGAATGAGTTTCTCAGAGATAAATAAAGTTCATGAAAAACTCGTCTTTAAATTGTCGTGCGCGATATTTCAAACAGGAATGTATGCGTATGTTCCCGCCCCAGTTTCCAAACATAAGCTATGATTTCTTGTATTGTCTATCTTGTATGTATAATTTCTTATATTATGATCCATTTTAACCAAGTAAATCTTAAAAAACAACTTCATACTTAATTCTTTAGCTGTTTGGAAATTCTTCTTTTTTGCCTGTTTTGGCCATTTTCTCCTTAAAGTACATGTTATACGTCTGGAACCAGTCTGACCTATTGACATATTAAAGCAAAGGGCTGCAAGCTCTTTGGTATTTCTGATCTTTGCAATCTAAATCGTACTGTATATCTGTATGTATTTTCCTGTATAAGTTTATTTTTATGTACTATAATTCATCTTGCATGGCACCATAGTTTGATACATACGAATTTTGCATAACTAGAATTGCATCAAAAATCATTAATGTTCTTTTTATAGACAGCCACACTTTATCCTTGCATATCGTGGCTACTTCCTTAACAAAGACACTTAAAAAAAATGTTGCCTCGACTGGGATTTGAACCCCAGACCTCTCGCACACTACACGACTAAACGAGCGTGTTACCTCTGTACCACGGAGAAGTTACACGAGTAAAGCTTGAATAAAATCAAGTAATTCTAAATTTAGAATTTCCATTGCATTTCGGGTTTGTAATCATTATTAATTTCGAGGTACTCTGTTCACGATAAACCTGTTGTTTAAAATTGATGTAAATATAATTTAGCGGAAACCTTCTCGCCAAAACAGTCCGACATGTAGAATCTATATATTCCACTACTCGACAGTCAGATTTGTTTGTGTAGTATTCGGTAATATACATCACTTAAAATAGCATTTTCATTGATTAAAATCATATTCATCCGCGTAATTTGTGATTGTGCATTTATTGACAATTTTATAAGCCAACGCTACTTTTAAACTTTGAAATTCAATGCGTTGACAATTGTTGGATACTTGTAACTAAATAGAAATATTCTTTTCATTTTAATCGCTAGTTTTAAGCTGTTTTGAGAACTACTTGTTGTTAGGTTTGTCGTTTACCGCTGTGTCAGAGATTGAATGTCAGCTTTGAATTTTCCTGATCTTCGATCAGAAAATATAAAAATTACTTTGTTTTCCTTAAATTCAACGTTGTCCCCTGTCATTCAGTGATCTAACGCTTGAGTTTATTTTATAAATAAAACGTTCCACGTGTGATCACTTGAATCACTTAAGCGATTATTAAGTACCTGTCTCTCTCCAATGCACGCTTTGTGTAACAACGGACAACAATGGACGATAATGTCAGAACTTTTGATTTTTGATCAATAAAAAAAGGTTACGGTATCAAATAATGTGTAAGTCCAGCCATTAACACCTTATCATTTACTGCTAGAAGAAATGAAATTTATCTTCAGGATTGCATAGTTAAAATCTACCAGAGTGGTTTATTTTTAAATATATAAGGAAATTATTGTATA